GTTTTGTTTTTAAATCAAGAAACAAAGCAATGTCTTACTTCTAATTTGAATTTATCTGGTTTCTTCTTCCATACACTTGTTTCCTTTCTCTGCTAAACTAAAGAGCCCATTTGTACTTGCTAGAATGGCTTTGAGTCTGTAATCAAGATACCTCTCTGCCTCTCTTTTGAAACCTGACAAGTCAAGCTCTTACTAACTTTCTCTCTGTAATGCACTTTTTCCAGCCCTTGGAGGCTTGGCATTGTTTCATTTTGTTTTGTTTTTGTTTTTAATACCTCCTCTTCAGTTGCTGTTTGTTGGCTAATTATCCTATTTAGAAAATAGGCAGCAGGGCCGTATGTCAGTATCAGTGAGATAGAGGTCACCTTCCTATTGCTGTGCTTACTGGAGGTCATTGGTCCTCTTTCTACCTTACAACAGTGGAGCTCACGTTTGTTACTTCTGTATTAAACCTTTAAACCTTCTTAAAAAAGAGCATCCCTTGCTGTCCATGGCTGATTGTCATTTCACTATCTTAAGCCCCATTTTCCTTGAGTGAATAGAACTCACCTTAACAAGTAAATTAGATTGTTTGTGAGGCCTGTTCAGTTTTCTCTCTCTTTCTGTCCTTTCCCTTTCCAACATTCTTTCTATTATCTGTAAGTTTATCAACAGTAATTTATTAATACTTCTGCGTCACAGATTAAAATACTAAGTAACTTTGCTCCCTGTCTGATCACAGAGGAAATCCACCGGAAACAAACCAAATGATGATTTCCTATTGTCAGATCCTTCGTGAGATCTTTATTTTGGCTGCTCTAACACTTCCTAACATGAATGTTATTAATACAGCAATATAGCATCAATTACAAGCAGAATAATGTGAGATAACACAAATATTTCAATAAAGACTAAGACAATTACCCTTACACACATACATTTTCCAGTTAAGTATGAAATCTCATGAATAATGAAAGTAGATTTCTTACATAGTTTTCCTTACAACTCTATCAATTAGCAATAATTAAATTTGACAGTTGTTCTTCTCTGAAACTCATATGAGTTTTTTCACTACTTTGCCTGTTGTCATTGTAACTCTAGTCAGTATTTTCCAGGTCAAGTCACTTGCTATTTTTAAATGTGACTGTGACACTAGCACATATTTGCCTTTTCCCAGACAATTTGTAATTTATTAGAAAATTAACACCCGTGGGCCAGTGAGTTCCTTAATAATTTTTTTATGGCTCCTAGGCACAATTTCTCATGGCCTAGTATTTATTAATATTGCCTAAATACTCCACAGTACTTCTTTATCCCATGGGATACAAATGAGAAAGACATAAACTTCAGTCTGCATCACAGATAGGAGTCAGGAGGTTGGCCAGATAGATGCCAGTGTGGGGAGTTAGACTCGGGAGCTGTTTTTTTGTTGGTTTGTGTATTTGTTTTATAGTTGAAGTTGACTTTCTGCAGAGTTTCATGGAAAGAATGCAGAAGCCTAGAGATATTTTAAACTGTCTTGCACTATTTTTGAGTAAGTCAGAAAATCCTTTAATAGCTCAAAATGCAAGGGAAAGGCTTTGTGTATCTAAACCAGAGCCTCCAGTAAACTGTCAGCTTCTGTGGCTGTTAAATACTTTTCTAGAGCTTCACCAGTTACAATGTCAAAGTGGAAGATCCCAGTATTCAGGTTTACCCCAATCCTGCCCTTTATGACAGTGTTTTAAAGACTGTCCATAGGCTGGTTCATAAAAGAAAAGCAGAGGGATGGGTGGACAAAATTGATAGCAAATTCTTTTAGTTGACTGGGATTTGTGAAGTGCCAAGATTCACAATACCCAACTGGAGTAACCAGTCTGGGCTTTCTTGCAGTTATGAGAAAATAAGCTTGTTTTCGGGTCATGAAAGGTTTTTGGAAAGGAAATACCAAATGCTTCATTGAAAGACATTTGGCCTTCTAGCCTCGGGAATTGACTGTACCTCTAGATCACAGAACATAGGCCTGTTGGGGAGTTTTCTGTCCTTATGAAATCTCATATGGTTTTACCCGTTTGTGGGTTTTTTTCCTGGTTTTCTAAGAAAATGAGGCTTCTACAGCCATGTGCTCTCTCAGCCTCCCCTTACACTCCTGACCCAGCCTGGTAAATACTTTTTTGAACCATTTGCCTATTTCACACTAAGTCCTGGTAGTCCACAGTTTCATGAAAACTAGTGGCTAAATAAAGGAGAATGACTCAATTTACCTCATTTCCTGTTCAGTCCTCCACTGGGGGCAGAATACCACCATTGCATCTGGTGGTAGCAACAAGCCTAGCAATCCCTGTACTTTGTATGTGCTATTCCAGTGTAGTTGCTGTGGAACGTGGAGAAGTGGTGGAAAACAGGATACAGGTTCTTGCTGCAAGGGAGTGGAAGTCAGGAGGAAAAAGATGCAGTCCTTGAAAAAACAGATTTTCTTCATCTTCCTTCTCACAATGTAACTTCATTAAAATTCAACACATATAAATACTCTTTTGGAATGAATAAGACTGACATTATTTCATGAGGACTCTGCTTCCACTGGAATAAGCCAAATGCAGCTTTGATCATGCAGCCATGCATCCTGTCCAGGGCTAGATTCTAAAATCAAAACTAACAGAGCACTGAATGCACATGGCAAGTTGAGGATTGTAGTGAGAAAACCCTAGGATTTGCTTCTAGATTTTAGTGTAAGTATGGGGAATGACTTTTTGTTAGGGTGGGATGTTTCTGTTTGTATATGTTGCATAAGGAAGTGTTTCTCTAAGATCTTAACTTATATTGCTGCAGTAAGCTTGTATGGACAACACTGCAATGGTATGAGTGGTGAGGAATGACTTTACATCACATTAGTCTTCATTGAGCTGATTAGCATGCAGGTGAGGAAGGGCTTTTGTGTAGGTAGAAAACTCCAGCAGAAACTGAAGTAAATGCTACTTTGTTCCAGTGTCTTAACAATCCAGTGTCTTAACAATGCGAGTTACCATTACAAGCCAGACTCCTTTCCTGCAGTAAGGTGACCAGATATCTCCTCCATATGTACGTGTGTTTGTTCCATAGTTTATGTTCTTCTATGTGACCTTTTCTAATCATGATATAGATTTATACAGATTCTTAGACTGGAAGTTATCTTTGGCTTTCTCTCCAGTTGTCTGTTTAAATAGCAGAGACATGTGAATTTATATTTGCTAGATGCCTGCAACAATAATTTTCTAGTGTCCCTCCTCCATTTGGAATGGAACTGCAGCTCGTGACATTTTTGGCTCAGCCTGACTCATGGAGATGAGTTGTCTCAGGGAAGGCACGTGGCTTTTTTTTCACCCTGGGGTTGGCTGAACACAACACATGTGAGTGAGGGGTCAGTTCTCTTCTGAGATAGTTTTCACTTTTTTTCTCGGGGGAAAATTGTTGTTATTTAGAGCTGCTTGATTTTGTGGAGGGTGAGGAGGTTGGAAAAATTCATTTTCTTCTAACCCTGGTGTGTGTCTGGCAAACCAAATTTGTTGGGAACCATTGGAATGTTTTTATAAAATTTGTCCTGAATAATAACATCCAGTTTTACAATGAGGGAAAATCTGGATGCCGAAAGCATCGTTCAGTCAGAACTAAGGTCTAGTCTCCAAGGGGAGCCAGTATATTCTCAAAGTTTCTCTGATAGTGGGATGTTATTTTAAAGGACCTTTCAAGGTCCTATTCAAGGACCAGTGTCACTTGTGCCTGTGCCATCTCCCACATCACAAGGGGAATATTTGATGGGGAGCCTGGGATCAGGCACTCAGGAAGGCAGAAGGCAGACTCCAGTTAAGATAGAAAGAACGGTGGGAAATGGCAAGAGATGCTGGGAAATTTCCTTATGTCTCAGGACACAGGAGAAATGTGTCCGATCTGAAAAAGATCATCTGTCCAGTCTCTTAGTTAGGGGAGACTGTGAGAAAGGTAAATGGAGGAAGGAGAGTGGAGGCGTTCTGGACAAGCTAACAGCAATGGGTGGAAAAGCACAATGTCTCAGGCTGTGTGTAAGGGACAGGCCAGGCTTTCCAGTGAGGAAGGAGAAAGTAAGCCCACACTTCACCCTGTCTTACTGAGGGGTGTTTGGAAGGGGAAACTCTAGAGTGTTTTAATTGAGATTCTCCCTGGGCGCAAATTACTTTGTTCCAAGCAATGCAAGTGAGTGTAAGGAATTAGGTAAACCACAGTTCTCCTTCCTCATCCCCCAACTACTGGGAACAGCTTCTGTTTTGGTTCACAGAGTCATATTTTTTTAAGAGGAAATGTATTTCCCTTGGGTCATACCAAGCTTCCCTTGGTAACTACAGAGCTTATGTCACATCCTGTTCTGCAAACCCAATAAAGTCAAATTTTGCTTTTTTGTGTGAAAAGAAATGGATTTGTTGCAGTGACAAATTTGATTGCCACTGATGTGTTGGACTTTCTAAAAAATGTTTTACAATCTCAGACCCTTGTTTTCTGAGTAATTAAAGCAAAAAGAAAATAGGTCTCGGGGTAATTTTTAAACTTAGGCACTAAGCTGAAGTTCTACATTCACACGTGGATGCTCATGGGAGTACTAGAGATAAAGCTGAATCAAAATATTGCAGATGGTCGCTTGACAGAAGCCCTCTTGTTTACAGTCTTACGCTACTATCATCGGTGCGAGGGCTTCTTATCCCTGCTATAAGACAAAGAACAGCAGCAGAGATTCTGCTCTGGGTCTTCTCTACCCTCATCCATTAACCGCTTTAGGGCTACAGGGACAATTTTGAGTATCCTAGGGAACAACAATAAGATTCAATTTATCCATCAATGTATTTTCATTTTATTTAGCGTTAATAAGGCTCCAATTCTGATGCTGAATTTTTAAGGACAAAACATCTTTTTCTAGCAGTGAAGATCACCTGTAATAAAAGGACTGGATCATTTGATAAATTCTGTTCCTTAATAGCACTAAGGTTTTTGTGAACTGCAGCATAACATCCATTTAATCTCTTCTTCCTTTGTATTAGGGACACTGTGTTCACTTACTATTGAGAAGGCCATGCCTGAAGATGGGGGCGAATACAAGTGCATAGCTGAGAATGCAGCAGGAAAAGCTGAATGTGCTTGCAAAGTGCTGGTAGAAGGTAAGTACTTGGCTGGATATAGGAAAACCCTTCCTTAGGACTTGCTTCTTCCCCCCTTTATTTCCCAATATTAGCCTTTATGAAACACGTGCAAAAAGAACTTTGCCTCCTTCCCTCTTGCCCTTCTCAGTCAATATGTTATTCAATGTCTTCCATAAAGCAGCATGAGCAGAGACACAGTACAGAGCCAAGGGCTCTGGCTGCTTTGTGGAATAATCTGTGTTCTCTTGCTATCCACTGCATTTCTACAAGGATTTTAGAGCATAAGTTGAACCCATGAAGGTTTGCGTCTGAGCTGTATGCATTTTTTAAAAGCACATAAGAATTCGGTGTGTGAGCCTGGGTACCAGTCTGTATGGGTAGGTACCACTGTGTATGGCACATTTCTCAGTCTAGAACTTTTCAATTCTTTGCATGCAATGACATTTGATAATTTGCCCTTTTTTTCTAGTGGCAGTGAGTAAAAATAACCAAATTAGTGGCTCAACCACCCTTGTATGCCACAGTCTTAGAACATGGACAGTTTGCAGACTGAGATACCCATTTTCAGCCTCAGTCATGATGATGACACTGTACTCCTGCCAAGTAGTCTTGGCTTTGGGCAAATATTTTGTCATGAGGTTGAGAGCACAGACTTTTAAAACTGCCATGGACTTCAAGTTACTTAAGAGACTTTAAGTAACCAAACATGCTTCTTATCAGCTCACCTTCTGGTGAGCTCAGCCTTGAATACTCTGATACTTTCCATTGTAACTGAAAAGAACACAAAACTAAACAACAAGCCCAATAACATAGATCTTGGGTACTAAGCCTTCACAACTCTGTTGTAGATGTGATATTTGGGGCAAGGAGGTCTAGAAAAGAAAACTATTACTTGTTTTCCTAAAGTAGCATGACACAAAGTAAGAACATGATCCTGTAACTCCATTAGTAAAGGTCAGTCTTCATGTAGCTACTAAAGGAATTAATTATACGTATAATTACAATTAATTATATCGGTTCCTGTAGTGGTACCTTCCATGATAGTATGATCACAACATAGTCTGGCTTAGATATTTGATTATATTACAGAAATATAAAAAATAGTTTAAGAAATACATTTTACCAGCACTGAAGTTCAAGGATGACTACCAAGAGGCTTTAAGCAAAATCTAGTACCCTGTAACACCTTAACTACCACAGAGGCAGAGGGTTAAAGGATCAGATCATCAAGTGCTTAGCACGCAGTAGTTCTCCAGAGCTGCTCTAGCATCTTTTAAATGTCTCAGTCGCCTGTTTTTTTTCCTTTGACTGTCTTCTGATCTTCTTCAAGTAGGTAATTTTCTTCCTGAAGCCTCCCTAAGCATATTTCCCACTTCAAATTTCCTGCAATTTAAATTGCTCCCTTCTACTCTGTCAGCATCCCAGACTCAGCAAGTAACCATAAATATTATATTCCTTTTGGCCCCATGGACTCAAAACAGATTGAAGGAGTATTTTACTTCAGTTATCAAATTAGCTCAGGGACAGATCCGTAGAATCTGAGTGTCTGAACTCAGATCTAGAACAGCATTCTGCTCTGAATCGTTTGCTAGGAGATTCTGTCTTTTCCTGTTAACTTTTTAGGAAAAGGAGAGAGACCAACTTTCATGCTCTGGCACTTAGAAGTAGGCAACTGAAATGGGTGGTTCCATAACATTTATGTTATCTTTTCCCTAGTAACTAAATTTCAAATAGCTATCTCATGCATGAATCCTCTGAAAACTGAATATTTGAAAGGTATAAATTGATACAGCTATATTGATATAGCTATTGCTGAGATCATAATCCAGATTTTGGATCTTTCTTCCAAAAGCAAATGTCAGGATCAAACAATCTAATGTGGAGATCATTAGGATTTGCATTATATGACATACTTGACCTGGGATAACCTTGCTGAGAAAAGGTTGCACCTTCTAGTTACGCATGCCTATGTTGTATGAGATACACATGGAAGAGAGCTTCTATTGACTCTCAGCTGTCAGTGGAGACTGCAGTGCTGAGTAGTTGCTGGATATGAGCTGTGCAATCTTGAGAATAAAGAAATCCATCAAACTTGAGTCCTATGGTGTCCCTTTTGCCTTTTTTCTTTTGGCATGAACCAATGTGTAATAATATATTCTTGGAAAGATTTAAACATACAGAAGAAATGCTGCTTTTGAAAATGTGTTCACCTATATAGATCACATAGACAATGGAATAGAAGAATGACATGGCAAGAAATACTTTTGGATGAAATGATGCTTCAAATATGCCTGCCTTTCTTTCTTCCATGCGCTGCCTAAGGCAGCTTTTTGCACATTGTACTTTGCTCTAGTCAGATAAAATAGATCTGTCAGCTTAGAAGGTACCTCTTGTCTAGTTGCTTTCTCAGGTTCTCAGTGCATCTGCTTTTGTAGAGGGCTTCTCCCTCTCTATTCCCTATTCCTTTTAGAATGTGACATTCTTCAGCAAGTCCGTGCAGAGAAGCTTTGTTAAAAACCAAGAGCACAGTAATTTCCTCTAACTTTGCAGAAAGATCCAAAACAAACTCGTGTTGACAGGCAGCTTTTCCATTATTGATTTTTAAATAGGATTCATATTTTATTATTTGTTTTGATTGCAGATGCCTCATCCACAAAGACCTCAAAGATTACTGAGAAGAAGAACAAGAAGCCTAAGACCACGCTTCCCCCTGTGCTGCCAACAGAGAGTAAGTGACAGTTATTTTAATTACTTCCTTTTCACTGGAAACAAAAGAGTGCTTTGGGATTCTGTGGTCATTCCCTTCTGTTTTCAGGCATAGTATCAGAAGCTTGTGCTCTTTTCTTTAACCCTTGCACATAAGTCACGTGAAGTGAGTTTTTGCCTTGTGGGGTTTAGAAGTAAGTGATGACTATTCTCAGTTTTCCATAATGGTGCAATAAGCTTATGGCATAGATTTATTTTTGGCTGTCTCCCACAGAGTGCAGAAGTTCTCAAGTAGTTTGCTTCAAGTCGTGTTGTGTCCTGTGTAGACACTGTACTGTCTCACCATTGGTAGGACAGGTATCTTGACTGAAATGTCCTGTAGCATAATCTGTCTCTTTTATCTTGAGCATGGGGAGTGGTTTCGTTAATTTTACATTCCTTGTTTAAAGCTTAGATGCTTTACTTGCTTTTAATGCTTCCTGAAATAAGAAATCAGCTATAAATTGCCATGTTTGCTACTCTGCATACGTGCATTTGATTAAGGGAAACTTTAAATGGTAAAGGCAGCACAGGAATGTAAGTTTAGAAATTCCCAATACTACTTTTGAAATTAAGTGTCCATGGGATACAAATATCTCTTTAAATCCAATACTGGACTTTCAAAGTTGTCTATCTAAGATGTCTACCATGTGAGTTCCTAAAAAAGATGTAAAGATGCAGTTCTAATAGAAGCATTAAATATTTTATCCATCACTCTCAAAAAAGCAAAACAAAACAAAACCCAAACCAAAAAACTATAATCTGATTTTCCAGCATGGAATGTTTTCAGCTGCTTTCAG